TGTGTGCGTGCGCGCGCGCACGTGCGTGCACGCAAGGGGAACCTGGAGTAAGACCATGAGCAGGGGCAAGAGCAGGCCAGGAGGGTGCCCTTTGTGGTGCCAGTTTGTATAGATGGAAGGGTCAGAAACAGTCCTGCCAGCCCCTTGGGTCAGAGTGCAGGTGCCAGGAAGGAGAAGCACAGCTCCTTTACTGCCCTGGATCCCCAGGGAACATATTTCTTCAACCCTCATGGAGCAGGGGGTCTGTGGGGTGGGAGGGAAGGGCAGGCGGTGGTGAGACTGTAACCCCCTGACGGCGGTGCCTGTGCCCCTCCCAGGAAGGCCATGCTCAGCCTGTGCCTGGAGAACGCGGAGCTGAAGGAGCAGGTGGGGGAGGCGACGTCGTCGGTGGAGTGTGGGGAGCGCGAGGAGGAGAAGGCTGATGCGGGGGCAGGCGAGGCCCCGAAGCCTGAGCTCAGGCGGCTGCAGCGGAAGCTGCGCAATGCGGAGACCATCATTGCCCTCCTCAAGGAGCAGCTGGTGCTGCACAGCCGAGAGGACAAGAGTGGACTTGGCCCCCAGATCACAGCTGGCCTGGCCAGGGAGGTGGTTGAGCAGCTCCATGTGGAGGCAGGGACAGCCCCAGCAAAACGTCCTGCTGTGGAGGGGCAGCCCCACGAGGATGTAGCCAAGAGACCCTGCCCTCAGTCGCCCGATCTGGCTTGTGGCCCACCCCAAGCTCTCACAGAAGGAAGCCAGGTAACACCTTTGGCTTGGTGTTGGAGGGGGTAAGGAGTAGCCCCTTGCGGTGTCTTGCCCTGGCCCGCATGGGGCAGCCTCCACTTGCTGGAGAAGTGGGATGGAGTTCACGCCGTGTAGCTGTGAACTGGGGAGAGGGGAGATGGGAGTCTGTGGCCTCCTCTAGCTAGTCAGAGGCAAGGGAAAAGATAGCCATTGGGGTCAGCCCCATGGCTCTTCCCTGATGACTTCTCAGTCCTGCTTCCCCTCAGAGATCAACCCATTGCCCCTGTCCTGTCCCTGGTTTGCCTCTGCCTGCATCTTTCTGGTGTATTTGACTTCTCTGGGGAAACCTCTTTCTCTCCCTTCCCTCCACCCCCAGTTTCTCTGCTGCATCCAGGCCCCTTCCCGCCCCATCCAAGTTGCATCCACTCCCCTTCCCTCCTTTGTCTGTGTGTCTCCTGCAAACACTTCCTTCCTTTGTCTGTGTGTCTGATCTGTCCACGCTCCTCCCCATCTGTCCGTCTGCTGTGCCTACGCCCCTTCCCACATAGGCCTATTTGCTTGCTCTGTCCCTGCCTGCTGCCCCCTCCATTTCTGTGTCAGTTGTGCCCCTGAGTCTGGTCTGCAGCTCTTGGCTCTGTGCTCTCCCAGATCTGGCTGTGGCTGCCCGACCTGCTTTGGGTAGCTAGTCCCAAGGGAGAGGGGATGGGATAGGGTGGGGCAATGCTGTCCTTGGAGAGAAGAGCTGCTTTGGGACAGACCCCGCTCCGCCAGAGCTGTCAGCTGGGCAGGGCGAAGCTGGAGGGACAGCCAGGGCTTGGTGCAGTGACTCACACACTTCTTGTTCCAGCTATGTGGGGCGGCTGCACATGACTGCCTGTTTCCTTCCCGCCAGGCGCAGGCCAGTCTCCAGAGCAGCTTCTGGACACGGTTGGGGGAGTCTGGCTCTGGGCAGTCAGCACAGCAGCGTCTCTCCCAGCCGGCTCAGGGCAGGCAGCACTACCAGGAGCTACAGGACAAGCTGGCAGTGTCGGAGGCCACAGTCCGGGCCCAGGCCGAGCAGCTGGAGCAGTACCGGACCCTGCTCAGTGAGTCAGCGTCTTGTGCCCTATGAGCCACGGTCAGGGGGAGGGAGGGTGCAGGGGTCTGTGTACAGCCCACATGGGAGATACTCAGCCTCTGGGTCTCTGTGCTGGGCTGAGGCAGGGGCTGTGGGCTGGGCTGGGGAAGGGGTAATCTCGGATCACAGCCGTGGGATGGGGGAGGAGCAGGTCTGTGTGTGGAGCCCTGATATGGGCCAAGTAGAAAGAACTGTGCTATTTGGGGCCCTGCTGTTTTTAGCTTCCTGTGACCATGCCTGTGGGCCCAATCCTAGCTGGGGATCCAGGCTCTGTATCCTGTGTATGTCTGTGTGCCTGCCCCTTGCGGCCTGTAGCTCCCCCATGGAGGGCTCCCCTCTGTTCCTGTAGCAGCAGGGGTTGGCAGTTCCCAGATGACAGCAAAGCCTCCTTGGGCTCCTGCCTGTGGTCGGCGGGTGCTATATGCTTTGGGGGCTGAGGCTAACGGAGAGGCTCTTTCCCATGGCAGATGAACCCCTGGTCCAGCAGGACAGCAAGCAGGTGCAAGTGGATCTCCAAGATCTGGGCTACGAGACGTGTGGGAGGAGTGAAACCGAGGCTGACCGGGAGGAAACCACCAGTCCTGGTAGGGAGAGTAGGCCAGGACCTGGCCTCCCAGTGAGATAGCAGTACTGGGGCTGCCTGTTGTGCTCTGGGCTAAAGTAGAACAAAATCTTCGAGGAGCCAGTGTGGTCCCTTCTCTGATCTGTAGGGACTCGTGTGGCTAGGGCTCCCAGGGGCTTTTGCAGCACAGCTGGCTCCTTGGAGAAACAACCCAGCCGGGCACACTAGGCCCTGGGCTTTCCCACCCTATTCTTTCTAGTGTTTTTTTGCCATCATTGGGGCAGGGCCTGGGGGTCCCATTGAGCTGGGTGCTCATGCACCCTCCCCACAGAACTGTCAGCTCGAATGGACAAGGCAGATGCAAGCTGGGACAAAGGAAGGGGCCATTCCTATTTTGCAGCTGGACAGGCTGGGGGAGGGGGAATAAAGGACTTGCCCAAGGTCACCCAAAGAGTCTGCAGCAGAGGAAGGAATTGAAGCCAGAGTCCCGGCCAACTGCCTCCTCTATGGGACCAACCTCCTCCCACCCCAAGTACCTGGATCTGGTATACATGTTCACTGTGCTGTTGCCAAGCACTTGCTTTTAAATCGGCTATTAATTTTGTGGGACCTACACAAACCAGGCCTAGGCTTGCCTCATGCAGTAATGAGCCTGTTTTCAGGGCTCTGGAGAGCCTCCCAGCTGCTTCACTGTGCCCTGGGTCTCCCCTCACTGCCCACAGCAACCTGGGGGAGATAAATTATCTCCCTTGTCTGCCTCCTAGTGCTTGTACTTGACAGAGCTCTGAATATGAGTCTTCCCCTTATGGTCTATAGCAGTGGTTCTTAACCTTTTTTGTACCAGGACCCATTTGTAAACATTGATGACCAGTCCCGACCCAGTGCCCCTCACTCCTGACCTGCTGCCCCTCACCCCCAGCTCCCCAGTGTGTGGAGCATGAGGTGGGTGTGTGGGGCAGGGGGTGTGTGTGGGGCATGAGGGGCCCCAAGCAGCCCCTTGCAGGCTGGAACTCTGCCAGCCTGCTAGGGAAAAGCCACGGTTTCCCACGTTTTTTCCTTTAAAGGAGAATCCACTTTTGTTCACGACCTTTTCATATATTCTTGCGACCCATGACCCACGGGTTGGGAAACACTGGTCTATAGGAGCTGAGGCTAAAACTACTCCCCTTGAGTCCTGATATTGCAGCCCCGTGCCAAACAGTGGCCCTGAGCCCTCAGTAGCAGAGCGAGGTCCCTCACAGCAGGCTTGCTGAGCTAGCAGAGGCCACACCCATGCCCTTCTCTTTCCCCAGAGTGTGAGGAGCCAGATGTGTTCAGTGAGGCCAGCCTGACTGAGGAGCTGAGTGCCCAGTGCAAGCTCTTTGCATCTGCAGTCGGCCGTTCCCCTCTGGGTGCTCCCTTAAAGAGCCAGCTACAAATCCTGGGCTCTGACCAGCTGCAGGACATCGCGGTTCTCCAGCAGCACATCCAGGACCTGCGAGCACAGCTGCAGAACGCCAACAAGGTCATCCAGAGCCTGCAGTGCCGTGCACGCTCCTTCTCTGCCACCAGTGACTATGCCTCAGGCGCAGAGCGGCCCCACAAGCTGAAGCCAGGCTGCGTACCGGATGGCTCACCTGCCCGCAGTGCGACTGAGGAGGATGAGGGCTGGCAGTCTGATGGCTTCAGTGCCTTCTGTCCCCCGGCACTTCAGGCTAGCCGGGACCTTGAGCGCCTTGTACAGAGAGTGTCGCTACTGGAAGCCCAGCTGCCCAAGCCCAAGCCAGGAGGGATACTGCCTCAGGAGCTGAGATCTGCTGTCTGGCCAGGGTAAGGCAGTAGGGGATTCTGGGGTGCCTAGAGGTGGGGAGGGTGTAGGTGAAGAGAATGGCATTGGTTTTGGGGGTGCAATACCATCTCCAGCAGCTGAGAATCTGGAGCAGGAAGTCATGGTGCCTACATTTCCTAACATGGGCAACCTCCCTACTGGCAGGTGACTCCACTGGCTGGGCACAGCCCTATATAGTTCGCCTGGCTAATACCAGCTAGGTGCCTAGAGCTCCTTCAGGCCTGTTGTCTCTGGCCTCTTCCCATACCTATATGTTGTGTCCACTGCAGTGGGTGCTGTTGGGGTTCTCCATCTGCCTACCGAAGGGATCTCTATGAAGGGATCCCATGCCGTGCTTTTGCCTTGGGTGTAGGGCTCTTGGAATCTGTTCGCTACCATCAGGTGGCTGTGTAGTCTGACCTCACCCTCTAGGCTAGTCAGAATTTCTTTGCCTCAGCTTGGCCATGCTTATGTTCACTGTGTGTGACAGAGCATGCAGGCACCTGCTCTTGGGAGGAGCAGCCAGGTCCCTGTGGTTTGCCTTGAGGAAGGACAGGTGGGGAAGAGATTGCCTTACCATCCCACTAATCCCCACCAACCTTTTCCCTAGGAAATATGATTCCCTGATCCAGGCTCAGGCCCGGGAGCTCTCTCACCTGCGCCAGAAGCTGCGGGAGGGCCGTGGAGTGAGTCACACCCTCACCCAGCACCTCAAGGATACAACCAAGTCTTTCGAGGAGCTTCTGCGGGGCACTGACATCGACTACTACATGGGCCAGAGCTTCCGGGAGCACCTGGCACAGGGCAGCCAGCTGGCCGAGAGGCTGAGCAGCAAGCTGAGCAGCAGTACGTTGGTACCATCATTTACTCACAGCCCCGCTATGGGGAAAGGCTTTAGGCACAGGGTACGGTTAGCCAGTGGAACCCACTACCACTGTCAGGGGCTCCTGAGGTTTCTCCAGGATAGCCACAGCTGTGGGGCTTAACATAAGGCTGATGGGTCAGAGTAGGTCCTGCTGTGGGGAAAGGTGGGGATATAAAGGAGCTCCTGGCTCTAAAAGCGCTCCTGGCTGGGTTTCTTACACCTTTCTGTAACTGAGTGAGTGAGATGGGCCCTTTCCTGACTCTTAAAAGCACTGGGCACCTATGTGCCAAGGATTTGGCTGGTGTTGGTTCTCACTGCACTCTACGGCCAGAGCCCTGGTCCCTTGTCCCCTGCCTGGCACCCTCCTGCATACTTAGGGGATGTTGCTAGGCCAGGGAAGAAGAGGACAAGCTGTTCCATGTTACAGTGAAGGCAGATTTTAGCCCATGTTACAGTGAAGGCAGATTTTAGGGTCAGGGTGAGGGAGATAACTGTGGTGTGAAAACATTTGTACCACTCTGGTACAGAGCACCATGCTGGCCCACAGACGACTCTAACCTGAGGCAACTCCAGTCACAGCCCTCCCCTGAAATGCTGCTGCTGCTGCATCTAGGCCTGAGTTGTGTGTGTGCTGCTGTGTCACAGGAGGTCTCCTGCCCTGTCCATAGCAATAGGTGCAGCATGAGTGTGAGAGGCAGGTGCAGGCAGGTGGATGCCAAAAGACAAGAGCAGGAAGCGCATTGTCCTCAGGAGAGGCAGGTTGGCTGGGCTGGGAGGGAATAAGACACAACTGCTAGAATCCCCTCCCTACCTCCCCAGCTTGGGCTTTCAGGATCTTCCCTGAGAGGCAGATGCAGGCTGTAGACTGGCATGTATGCCTACCCTGGCATGTGGCTCCTGCCAGGTACCCTGTCCCTTAGCTGCACACATGGCAGTACAGGCTTAGAGGGTGACAGGCGTCCTGCAGCCAGCTCTGCTGAGCTGTGTGCATTCTCTGTAGGAGGGATATGAGTGAATCTGCAGATTTTGTCTGTGTTTCAGGCTAGGGACCGTAAGCGGTGGGGGCAGGGGGTGAGATATGGCCAGCCAGGAAGCAAAAGAGAGGGTGCTGTGCCCTGGCACGGGGACAGGAGGTGGTTCTGTGACATCTTCATGCCCTGACTGGATCCTTCTGGATTTGCTTTCAGGGGACCGCTCTGCCGGGGAGGATAAAAGTGGACATGAATTACTGGCTATCAGGTAAGCACCAGGGGCACATCTCCCCTGACAGGGCATCTGCCAAAAACTTCAGGAGGCTTAAACATATGCAGAAGGCAGTACCAGTGTGGTGAAGGGCTCTGGACACCCCCTGCCCCCTTCACTGCTGGTCCTACCAGCAGCTGCTGTCCTCTGGCCCAGGGAAACCCCTGGGCCTCCCCACTGCACAGAGCAACCCCTGTATAAGACCCTGACTAAAGGGGCATCTCCCAGCAGGACAGAAGGGAGATGTGACATTTAGGCTTGGAGAAGCTACCTCCTTCACTCTTTCTGTTGCCAGGCCCAGGATATGGGAACTGGGCACCCTCACAGCGGGTGCTAGTGTCCCTTGTCAGGAGTGTTCTCACCCATGCAAGGAAGGACCTGGGTGGGTGGACAGACCAGAATGTCTGAGAGCAAATGGGGCACTGGCTGTTTTTCAGGCCAGGCCTTCAGGCGAGTGGGAGAGCAGGCAGTGGGAGGGAGTTCTGCTGCTTTCATGAGAGGTCTTCCTTGTGAGTGCACTAAGGATTGGTACTGATGTGTGTCTCCTCCCAGGCTCAGCAAGGAGCTCCAGGAGAAGAAGAAGATGATTGAGACCCTGGAGGCCAAGCTTCAGGAGTGCTCTGAGAGTGTCCCCAGCAGCCGTGCTGCCTCCGAGTCACCCCGCTCTGACAGCAGCGCCTCCTTCCTGTCCGATGGTCTGGAGGCCTGCTCTGACATGGACGCTGCCTCTGAGTACACCCAGTACCAGGAGGAGGAGCGCAATGAGCAGCCATCCCGCTGCCACTCAGGTAATACCTCAGCTCAGGTTTCTGTCCCAGGCCAGATGAGACTCATGGGCTCAGCTCAGGCACAGACTGGCAGCCCAGGGAAGGGCTGCCCAGCCCAGCCCAGCTCAGTGCATTCAGCATACTCCCAGTACTCACAGTGAGCACCCAAGAGCTACTGCTTTCCTGTCTCCAGCCCAGCCTCTTTTCATCAGCAGACTGTCTTGTCATTGCTCGGGTCTGCTGGCCTGGTCTCTGAGCAATTCTCAGGAAGTTAGAGAAGGAGGCTTCCATCCCAAGGAGCCTATCTGACATTGCACTGAGAGCATCATCAACCTAAACTGCCCTCTCTCTGAGTCCCTAGGAATTTCCTAGGCATCTGTTGGGCTTACACCAGTGCCCAAGAGCAATGGAGGTGCCAGGAGGAGATTTGAGACCGCTTCACAAAGTGCTATATATACTGCAGTTAGCTTGCACTGGCAATTTTCCACTGGTGCCCCCAGGGAGAACAGCATTTTGAGTGCCAGTGGCACTTACAGTGGGATTTCTGACTTCCCCAATCTCTGAGCAACATTTTCTGTGTTTGCTTTGCCTAAATTGTTTATGGTCTCAGATGTTCTCTAAAATATGCCAGGCAGGCTTTTCCTTTGACTCTGAAGGGCAGATTGTTGGAACCTTATCAAAGGGAAGCCTGCCTTGGCAAAGCAACCTCAGCGTAGCAGTCAGAATGGCAACACTTGGCACTTCTTTTGATCCTCTTGCTAAACATCTCCAGGTGCTGGAGGCACTTGCGAGTTACAGGGACATTGGTCACCTTGGAATATTCCACAGACTGGCCTGGCCCCCAGCATTCAGATTTATAGCCACATTTCCCTTTATTCCCCCATCCCCTGATCCCCAGATGCTGTATGAAATCCCATATAAAGAATAGGTGAAGCTGACTGCCCAGATGGGCCTTGCCATCACTGAACTTCTGCATCTCAAAATACTTGGTTGCTAGTTAACTAGATGTCTCACAGCCATGGAGAACAAACCAGTAAATGTGAGTTCTTTACCCTGTAGACAGCCCAGCTGCTCACCCAGCTGTGCTGGCAGGGATGTCTGGCTTTTGATAGCCTGTATGGGTCCCATACAGCTGCAGCAGAAGTCTGGTATATACAAACTCTTGGAATCTTCTGAATGACCATGTTTAGTGGAGTCACATGGACACACGCACAGGCACAGACTGGAGCACCTCATAATCCCATAAAGCGTGGGGCATATTCAAACTCCACTTCTTTGTGAAGAAATTCCTCTTTCCTTTTATTATTATATTTATTATTTTCCATTCAAAGATCTAGAACAACAAAATGAAAAAGACGACAGAGGGGCACCTTCCCTCATCCTCCATTTACACCTCTGAATTGTGGGATGAGACACCAGTTATCAAATACCAGGATAGTGGACTCTAACCTTATAGGGTTTAAGCCCAGCCCTGTCATGTGATGGTCTTGTGCCATTAATTGCTAAGTACAATAGACATCCAGGGGAAAGAAGTGTTCCTGACACCATTCTGGATATGTGCAACCCTTATGTCTGTCTGGTAACGAAGCTCAGTCTGCTTCTGAAACACACCAATATCAGAGTTTGCAAGGCAGCTGAGTGGAACCAAACCATTCCCAGTTGTGGAGCATTTGGGTGTTTATACATGTGCTCTGAGGGGAGGGGGTATGTTTTAATTAGAGCAGCTCTGAGAGCTTTAGTTAAAATGCCTCCACTGCCATTTTTAAGGGCAGGGATACTGATATACGAGACACTGGAGTCTGCTGGAGTGTGGTAATTACCATGCTCCAGCAGACTAGCTGTAATTACAGCACATCGGAGCAGCCTTGATGCTTGTGTATAGGCGCCCTATGTTCTGGAATTTTATATGGATTTATTTATATTTTGGAGAGGAGGGCTACAACCTGTGCTCAATCACACAGCCTCATTCCCACCACCCTGAGAGGATAGCACTTGAGGGCCACTTGAAGTGGGATCCACACCAACATGAACTAGTAGGAGAGAGAGCACTTCCTTCCCATGGAGGGACTTGTTCTTCAAAGTGTTGTAGTCAGCGTGGATCCCCTGGCCTGCTCTGTGCACCCCTTATCTCAGAGTCCTTTGCTATGAAGGATCTGTGAAGGAGCTGAGGGAGGATCATGGCCACCCTGCCCCATTATGCCTTTACAGAAAACACAGGGCACATGTCAGCCAGGTGGTTGCTGGTCTCATGTGGATGTAGTGCATGTGTGACTCTACATGC